ACGGGAGCACCACGGGCACCAGTGGGACCAGCAGGACCGGGGGGACCAGCTTCACCCTAGAAAAGGGGGAAAAAAAAAACAGAATAAAAAGGGAGGTCGAGGCTGTGGCGGTGGGTGCCCAGGACACGTCTGTCCCCGGTGCAGCGTCCAGCCGGGGGATGGCCCTACCTTGTCACCAGGAGCACCAGCAGGGCCGGGGGGGCCGATGGGGCCGGTCAGACCTCGGAGACCGTCTTTGCCAGGAGCGCCGTCAGCACCTTTGGGACCAGGGTCGCCCTGGGAGAGGAAGATGATGGTGGGTTACCTGGGGAGGTCCCCTCCAGGCAGGTCACCCCCGCCTTTCCTCCCTTCTTTGCGCAGCAGCACTGAGGCACCCCTGGTTCTTCACCCTCCCTGGGAGAGGCTGGGATCATCCTCCTCCTCCCGGGTTCCGGGGGAAGAGCTGGGCTCAGCTCCCAGCTTGCAGCAAGGGACTGTCCCCAAGGTCCATGCTCGGCTGGGGACAGAGGTGACACTGAGCATCCCCTCCCCAGGGGGGTGCTGCCGCCCACCAGCCTTGGCTTAGGGGAGCGCATCCAGCCCCGACGGCGGGGGCACAGGGGTGGTCGGGAGCGGAGGACCTAGTGGGGGACATCAGGATTTTGGGGGACACGTACTCTGTCACCCTTGGCGCCTGGCAGGCCGGCAGCACCGCGCTCTCCGGGCATACCCTGCAGACCGGGGGGGCCTTGACCCCCGGGGGCACCGGGAGCACCAGCATCACCCTGGGCAAGAGAGAGAGAAAACGGGTGTTAGCGAGAACCCGGCGCTTCCTCGGCACCGCAAATTCCTCCCCGGCTTCAGCAGCAGCCCCAGCAAAAGGGGGTGAAGCCAAACCCACCCCCCTCCCTTTACACCTGCACCCCAAGAGCCACCGGGCAGGGATGGTCACCAGTCCCAAGCCAGCGGGAAGAACCGAGACCTCGCACCTACCTTAGCACCATCGTTACCGGGAGCACCGTTAGCACCACGAGGACCTTGGGGACCGGGGGGGCCTTGGACGCCGCGTTCGCCGGGGAAACCTCTCTCACCCTGGAGAGGGGAGGCAGGAGAGGGGCCGAGGCCGTCAGGGGGGCGGTGGGCACCGGGAGGGTGCCGAGAGCCGGCTGGGCAGCGAGAGGGGTTCCACTTACCCGGGCACCGGCGGGACCGGGGGCACCGACATCTCCGGGGACACCCTGTGCGGGAAG